TGTGTGTGTGTATGTATACAGTCGTCCTACCAAAGTTTACTCACTCCGCGTTGTGCACAAGAAAGACTGGATCGTAGCTCTGACGTGCATGGTACAAAAAGACTTACCAAAGGACAGTACTGGGTAGAAAAGTACTTGTCTTTCGTTCGTGAGAGTTTGGAACAAACTCCGGGTGGTTTTTCACGTCTTCCAAGGGACCCAACTGCATTTCTAATCTTGCATCAGGCAATTCAAAAGACAATGGCCGAGTACCATCGAAGCACTGACGACGGCTTTTTTCATTTTTTCCAGTTGTTTAGTGATCTTTTGTATTCCCAAGAGTACATTGTACCGCGTGTATCACCGAATAGACAGAATTCATTTCGCATCATGTTTTTTAGGCGCAAATTGTTTCGCACATGTGTGTTTCAATGTGGACATGGACCTCTTTTTATCTTGACTACTATTAGCTCATTAGAGAGGTTACCATGCCTGTGTAGAGATCATGACGATTCGTGGTAGTTTGGCACCAGAGACGTCATCGGCGCACTTGTACCCAAGTGCATGCATCAAGGTAGCAAGCACTGTTTTGCTACATGGTTATCGGTGATCCTCTAGAACCTCATTCATCATTCGACAGATGTTTGTATGCAACCCAAGGATTAATGTATCTGTATCAATAAGTTGGATTGAATTGTGTTTTATAGTAGTGGATTATCCAACTACTAAGGAGTACGTCTTCACATGCCATACACCGTTTTGTTGAGGTTTCTAAGCCTGGATTACCCCTGTTCTGGGTCAACCCACCTAAAGAGAGAGGGGTTAGGGACACTGATACATACCTGAGGTTTTTAGACTCATTGACGAGGGTTGGTTAAGTTATTGGAAAACAGAGAGACATGGCAGTTCACCAGCTTCGAGATGCTGCTCAGGTACCCCTTGCACATGGAGCAACGACTCAGGCTGACTTGGACAATGGTGATTATGTTTGGGAAACTTTATTTATCTGTAAATGGGGTTTCCTGTTTCGGAGGAGCTGCGATCCCCGGTATAACAACCGGAGTGAGTGCCAGTGGTGCTTCGATCGGACGGATCTTTCTTTATCTTAGCCTGTAATATGCAGGAATGAGCCACGTGGTTGTTTTGAAACACCTCATACCTCACAACTTATCCCCATTTGAGTTGTTTCCGGGCCGATTAATCTCATCCATCGATAAATTCATATAGTGGCGCATTCTCTCTCATCCTGATTCAATTCTCACCGTAGCTGTCTGTGACCGGAGCATATCCAGTGCTGGGCGATTCGATAATCTTTTTTTCCCGATGCGATTCATAACCAATCAGTAACCTCGGAGTTCATCTTTTTCACAATTTGCAGAGAATGGCGCACTACAGTTTGGCGGTGGTTCATTTATTCACTGGGAGCTCCTCCGTTCCAGTCCGTTCTATCTCGAACTGAACTTTGAGATGCGCACACGACAAACAACCGGACCGGTGATTGCAATTCGTTGGAGCGCTCTGCGTGCATTTCAGCTCCGTCTGGCCAGTGGCGGCCGTTTAGTTGTTTCATCTACCGGTCTGTCGGATGGATTGGCTTCCACCGACTGGCTTATCTCAGCTGAGCCAATCTCGGATGGACACTGGCATCGAATTCGCGTGATTCTGACCGCAACCGAGGGGATGTCCGGAACGGACGACCATGACGCTCTGTTTTTCCGACCGTTCGAAGGTGAGTCTCTGTTTGGTCTTCAGAAAGGTTCCTGATGGGTTTTGGCACTAATCGATCCGAGGTTTGTTGTTTGCGGTTATTGACAACTCGTGATCAGATTGCTATGATCAGTAATAATCCCCAGAACTTACGATTAAATTACATACATAGTCAATTTACTCGGGTTTTCTACTCACTTTACCACAGCTGACTTATTAAAGATGATATGCCGGTTTTATGATTGATCGGGAATTTTTTTGTGAGTTTGGTATGAGAGAACTCCCCAGCGTCACTCAACTTTGTTATTTCCAGAAAGTACCTCCGGTCTTTGCACAGTGAACTGCGGACTGCAAGGCGATAGTCTGTGCGAGCATGGTTACCGGTCTCTCTCTCTCTTTCACTAGGAGGTTAATCACCGTTTGACTAGTGTGCATTCAACTCAGAGAGCGATGTATCCAACCTAATTCTTGACCTATCAGGTTGTGTTCGTGTCAGGGGAATGCAACGCAGTTAGTTGAACGGGTTCTAGACGGATCGATCGATGCTGTAATAATTTGATTTCATGATTATGAACCGTAAAGTGGGTCACAGTCAGTGCGTCCATCACATCGATATAAGTTTTTTTACATTGCGGTGTTCTCTTGCAGACTAATCAAGTCTTATGCCCTCAAATATTTCCACTATTTGCCTGGATAGAGATTATGTTTCAACCAAATGTGACAAACCAATTAATTAGGTTTGCTGTGGTCGCGCTCAAGTGATGATTACTTATTAAAATATATTGAGAAAGATCGGTGTTTTTTTGCAACAGCTGGACGTTGGACATTTTTATGGCAAATCCAAATGTGTGTGTGGAGTCCGTGGTTATGATTCTCCCTTGCGCGTCAATTCGTACCGATTCGGTTTTCCGGTACATTGATAAATAAATGATTCACCAAAATTGGTTGTTTGCATCCCTACTTCCAGGTCAGAGGTTTATGGGTTTTGCAATCCGCCCACATTAAAACGCCAGATGGGCGTGAACTGCACGTTCAACTTCCCGTATGCGCCCGTTTGACTATGATTTATGTCGCCTCCCTTCTCTTCCCTCCCGCTCCCCGCCGTCCCCGTTTCATGGTAGACAACAATTCTCTTAATATTTTGCTTCCTTTGATTGGTTGAATACGTGATTGTGAGAACAATTTTCACGAAAAGGGAAGCGGTTGATCAAAGGTTTGTGATGCGATCCGTAGAGAATGGAGCAAGTTAAACGGCGGTCGTGGGATTCGAACACACGGCCTCCGGGGCATTAAGTGGGTAATTTGAACCACTTGATCACCGTTACCATGGTAGAAAAAATATTTATACACTTTGCAATATCATTCTGGTGATATTATGCGGCAACAACTGCTTTTCTTTCCCATTTGACATAGCACATCGTATTGAAAATTCTCATACTTTCCGCTAAACCCGGAGATTTTCACATTGACACAACAGTTCTCACAGGGTCGGTCTTTGCATCGCGGGAAATATTGCTCAAAACCAAAAATCGAATTTGCGGAACATTGGAATTTCGTTTCGTATTATTTTGTCCGATTCGCGGAGCAGCGCTATAACGGGTGCTCGCTGACTAACCGACATGCTAACCACATTAGGTCCACTTGAAACAAATCAGGCGGTGTAATGTGGATTTTCACACTCGGTTTTCAGACTAATTTCGATTCAGTCGCCTATTGCGAACAAATATACCGTTTATCGCATCTGCATGTAGCTACCGCGTGTTTATTTTCTCGTCGTTATTTTTGTCTCCCCTCTTCTCGGGAAGAATCACGTTTATCCGTTCATTCAGCCATTTAAGTGAGCACTACCATGTGTTACCCCGAGTCCCGCTCTACCTTCCTACTGGTGAACCAGAGCAATGGATTTCGTATTTGGCTATGGGAAATTATCGGTGGTCAGGCGGGTTTTTTTAGTCCTTTTTCCAAATTGTCGGTAGAGTTACCTGCCTTCTCTTTTCTTCCGGGGGTGTTGTATACCAACTCATCCGCATATAGCTCAGTGGTCCCATTTGGACTGTATGGAATGAGTTGACCATGTGCTCATATAGCGGAGCGTAAGTGGGCCACTGCTCGTGTGTGCACATCGTTTTCCTCGTTGTTGTGTGACCTGTTCCGTTTATGCCTGCATAATTCCAGGCGACGGATGTTACTGTGCTGTTCCTGCGCTTGCGGTTGATGCTCATCTTTGTATGACCACACACACACACACACACACACACACACACACACACACACACACACACACACACACACAGTATTCGCTCTCACTGAGGACGCGCATATATGGTGTTGACAGTTGCAACGAGTTGTACACACAACTGTCAGAATTCGGGTCCGACACGGTCGCACTGCGACAGCAATGAATATAAAATTTTCAGGTGTGGTTATGCGTTTCTTGTTCAAGAACAACAAATCACATCAAACTGGAGGTTCCCTTTTTTTAGGGCCAGGGGTGGAGAATGGTTGGTTGTTACAAGCACTGAACCACCATGAACCTCAGATAAGAATGACCGATAGTGTTCATCCTGGTTCCGGCGTTTTTTCTATCCTTGCATGTCCGAATGTGATACAGTTTAACGGGTAAACTCCACGGTTCTGGAAATTATTTCGCTCACGACTGAGGTTGTGGAAACTGACCACCCGAAACTGGATATTTAGCAGCGGTGAACCGCATAATTCCTCATTAGGATAGACGTGGTATTGATCCAGACATCAATAAAGGCTGTTGTAGTGTGCCAAAAACATCGGATAATGGTAAACTCTGTCTCTACCTCGTTGGGCCCAAATGCCCTTGTCCTATTCAGACGAACTAATCGCTGTTCTGCAATATTTATTGTCTAATTAACTTTACGGATAAAGTTGTTACATTGTTATGCTACTATGATAGTGAATTCAGTTGGTATGCACTTACCGCTTGTCTATTCCCTTCTCAATCACAATTTTCTCACCCGTTAGATTCAGAGACCTCTAACTCTCCTCGCATCCCGTCCGGTCGGACCGGCACTGGTGGTGGTCACTGGTGGATTGAGCTGACCGTGAACGGAATTCATCCACGTTCGGCCTCCATCGACTGGGCTCCGGGTGACCCGGTTCAACAGGGGATCTTATTTGGCGCTGACCTCGTCGATGGTTTTCGTCCACTTTCTGTCCATCCTTCACCAGACTCGGCTCCCATCCTGGGACGTTTGACACGTGCTGGACACTATGGCCCCAATGGAACGAATGAGGATGAGTTCCCTGTCATGCGATCCGGTCTTGTTGGTGAGTTGAATAAATTTGTTTGTCTGTGCTGTAACCGATCGATACACTATACTCAAGGAGTTGATTTTTAACACTCTTCGCGTATAAAACATGACCAAGTAACATGCTTCGATTTACCCCTCCCCTCCAATTCGAATTCCATAGGTTGCTTGCGAAATGTTCGTCTCAATCAGCAAAAGCCGCCATATCAAGTCAACTATCCGACAGCGTTTTCCACTCTTCAATGGGATCACTTCAGCTCCGCATCGAATCACGTCGGTACACCGATCCTTGCACGTATGCATCAGCTCACCTACGGTTGTGATCCGAGCACGACAGTGTCCGGTTCTTGCAGTGCCGGCCCTTGTCTACACGGGGGCATGTGCAGTCCAAAACCCGGTTCAACCAGCCCGTATACATGTCAATGTCCGCCGCTATTCCACGGTCATCATTGCGAACGGACCAGTGATGCGTGTCTGCTCAAGCCTTGTCAAAACGGGGGCAGGTCAGTCGGAACACATAAGGACTGAAATTGACCATTTGTTACACATTCACATCTGCGGTACATAGGTGATTGAAATCGGTTGAGCAACTAGGTTGCGCATTTGATGCTTCTGACAAAAGATCTGAATGGAAATCGTAAGGTCTTTTATTCTCAAATTTTCAAAAGCAATAGCAAATCTTTTACTGGTTTTTCTTTCTGTCTACAAACACGATGCTACACGGAATCAAAATTTTAGAAAACGAACCGCGTCGGATTCACAGATATGCGATCAATCCGCTAGATGCAAAGGTGTCAAGTGTTGTCAAGACCACCTTTTCCAGACAAATCTTCACGTGCGACACATTACAAAAGCATCAGTTTTACTTTATTATTATTATTATTATTATTATTATTATTATTATTATTATTATTATTATTATTATTATTATTATTATTATTATTATT